TGTCGGCTACTACCAGTCGAACTGCTCCGATCTTTCCTTAAACTCACCCAACGCGGTCTACTCTAACGTCCATCCTAATCTAGTTGACTCACGGCATCCCAGGCAGGCTCCCATCAGGACCTCATCCTGTAGCTCGAGTTGTTCCGGTAATCTTGGCTATTATCATAGTGGTTCCGAGTCTTACGATCCAGCTACATCGGGTACCGAGACCGATGGCCTCTCGGATCATTTCACCTGCGACGACGATTTATACCAATCCATAACAAGTCCATCCTCCTCCGATCCCAATCGGAACACTCCCACCGTCTGTCAAAGGTCCCGTAAACAAGCACTCTATTCAAGACCTTCCTACGCCAGTCCATCTCCAGGATCATCCCTAACCGGTTCAATCAGCACCTCCACCCTCAACGCGTCCGAGTGCAGTCTTGATACGCGAATCGCTGGCTTATCCTTGATCAACACGAGCACCAGCTCGAATCCTCAACATCCCTCTGGTGCCACCGAGGATGAGAAGTCTACTGGTAAGAACCCAAGCCGAAGGAGGTTCCGGAGAAAGCGACCCTCCACCCTGCTTCTTAACAAGGCCACTGGTCCTTCTCACCCAGGAGCCGACAGTCCCACATTACACCGATCTCCTACCACAGCTCTATCGCACAAAGCCAGTTCATCACTCTCTGGCCATCCCCAAGAATGTTCTCAGCCCGGGGACCTTGCTTTTGCTGCCGATTCAGACGCCGAGGAGCGCCGACAGAGCCGGTCAAGCGTTGCCCATCGCCAGGCCCCTCCGGTCGAATCGCGCAAAAGGGTCGATCAGCCCCAATCTCATACTCCACCACGCATCCCGTTGTCCGGATATCGCGGCCTCAACACACGAAGTCGTTCGACCATCAATCGTCCTCATACATCCACACAAGTTCGAAACGAAAACAAACAGTGTCTGTCACCGCCTGATACCACGTCTGACGACAGCTCCGGGAAGATCTTCAACCCTAAAAGGCCCTTATCCTTTACCGCCTTGTTCTCTCGAGGCTCAACAAACAGTACATCCGCACCGCCAGTTAACCCTGTACGTATCCCTTCCTTTTTTTCATGGAGTTCTACCGGGGATTTTTTTTTTTTGCTAATCATTATGTGTCATATTATTAGCCAATGACTGCCAAAACTAGCAATCAGAGTCAGCAGCTCTCTAGGAGCTGCTTCAAGCACCGATATAGTACCTCTATTGACTCGAATACTCACCGCTTAGGCTCATCTCCTAATTCACACACCTCCAACGACAGCATTCTTTCGAGGGTCAGGCGACTGTCCTCTCGACCGGCCCCGCATCCCAAAAACTCTTCCCCTATCAGTCCTACCCGTAAACGATTTTCCCTGGCTGGTGACACCTCTAGTAGGCGTTCCCTCCACACCGGACCTCCGGCTTCGTCAGGCAAAGTTATGGCGACGCCCCTCAAAGCTTTCAAAGCTGCAAACGACAGATTTTCAACCGCACTGAAATCAAACAGAAGGCAGACCAGTCAGAGCGACAGTTTTGTTAGCGATGTGACCCTGACCGCCGTAGACTCTTACGGAACCGTTCGCGCCCGTCGACCCTCCTCTCGAGCTTCCTGCTCAAACTCGAGCATCATGAGCAGCACCCAACCCAGCCTGACTCGCAAATTTTCGATCCGATCTAACAACAAGAGCAGTATCAACGAGCCTGACCTCTGTCATTCACCCACCGATAATCACATCGATCATGATCTCGCCTCAGCCACCCAATCGCGCTTCCCCTCCCGACGTACTCTACCATCCAAGCCCCCAAAGAGCAACCCTGCCCTACGGGCTAGGGCCGAGGCCAACGCTCAGCTTCAGGGCTACCGAATCAAGCCGTCACATTCCTCGCTCTCACAGCAAGAACCTCCTGAATCCCACCCTCCAGCCACCAACGCCTTCGATGTCAGCCCCACCTCGTCTGCGTGGGGCGCGCGGTATCCATATGCGCGCGTCCTCTCCAACCCTCTGGTACCAAACTCCGAACCCTTGCCCACTACCATTTCCGACGTAGAACATGATACACATGTCTCTAATCATCTTGCCCATATCGGGAACTTGCCCCAACCCACTAATCTGACTCGCAGTAACAGTATGGGTGAACTTCGCATTCCTTCTAGGATCACTTCCCAACAAGGCAGGCTGCAAACTGAGCTTAATCAGGTTAAGGAATTTGCTAGAGGGATTGACGGTTAGTGATTTTTTTTTTCTAAGTCATCTTTGTTCCTCCGTAAGAAAGCTGAACGTTTATTGTTATCGCAGAATTGAAAACCATGAGACGAACGTACCGTAAGATGATCCGAGCGACACATCACTCAAAAATTGACCAGAGTATTGTGACTACGGATGAGTCAGACGTGAACTCGAGTGATTCGGATTCTTTGAAGGAGCCAGAACCACTGCCGGATCGACCACGCCAGGAAGAAGTCGAGCGATCGGTAGAGAATCCCAATCAAGTCAGTCCACGCGCGCTAGAACGACTGTACACGGTCATTCAAAAGATTCAGGAGGAATACAAGGAGTGGTGGACGTGCTGTAACGTGTTAATCGATCTGGGTGAAGGCTCGAAGGATCCCCGGAACAACCTCTCGAGCGAACGTCTCCGGTCACTCACTTCCTACTCGCAAGAGACTCTGGAGCACTCCCTCGAGTCCGTCCCGCCGGTGACCACGGTCACAGCCCCGGAGGCCAAGCCCGGTGCACAGAAACACTTTGAGATCCTCAAGAGCATGTTCGCGCCTGGTGGAGCAGAGTCTACCCCGCCACCGGCCTCGGCCTCATCGTCAGAGCAGACTAGCCCGGGCAGTCCTGCTTCCGGGCTCCCTTCAGAGCCCGTGCGCTGTCAGACGCCACCCATGGCCGCCCCACTCGACGTCGACTCGGGCGATAAAACCCCGATTTCGCGGCCGGTCCCGGCTATCGCCGAACCGTCGGTCGTCCGCCAGCTAGAGACCCCCACACCAGCGCCGCGCAAAGTCCACAGCATCGAGCTGGCCTCAAGTACGATGAGGAGCATAGATGAATCGCAGGCGGACGAGGGACGGTTGAGTGACTGGAGCGAGATTGACGCGACCTGGAACGACACCCTTGTCGACAAACTCGTCCCCAAATCAGCCCCCGCCATCCCTCATGACCGCTCCTCCTCTAAACTCGACCTCAACGGTCTTCCAGCTATCATCAAAGATAAACGCAAGGCACATTCGGGCAGGTATTCTAGCTATCATAACCACCATCCGCTCCCTCAACCCAGCGTTGCGCTTGGCCTTCATTCCCAGAGACCTAGGGTTCTGGCTGGAAGTCGGATCGGCATCAGTGGGATCAAAGTAAGCACTCTTATTATTACCCCTAGATAGTCTTTGACAGCGATACTTACAAAAAAAATTTTGTTGGTAGGATTTCTTGAAGGTTCTCAAGGCGCGTGTTCATGCTGAAGAGAAATGGCCGATCAAGCGGAACGTTGTCCCCGGGCCTGCCGGTCAGAACTCATTATCAGTAGTCCTGGGAGACAATGAGGGCGATAATGGAGGGTTTAAACGAGGCACGGTCCGGAGTCAGAAAAAGGGCCAGACTAAAAAGGCGGGCAACGGTCCGAAGTCGTCTTCGTCCACAACGACGATAGCGACGAGCATGAAGGGCAGGGGAGAGGAGAAGAGGACGCTGGACACTCCCGGGTCGGTGGGTGTCCTAGAGCAAGACAATTTGTCGGCCGATCAATCAATCGAACAGACCGAATCGGTCTCCTCTTCCGAAGAAGAATGTTGGGACGAGTTGTTCGGATTCAACCAAAACAGCAACAACAACAACAACAACACGACGACGACGACTTCGGAGTCGCTCGACTTGGCTCTTCCTCCGCAACTGCTCACTAGTACTCTGGCCAAGAAAAAGCTCGGGCCTAATTCGTTCGGCGCCGCGTCCGCCGCCGCCCTCAGTATCGCCTCCGCTGGCGAGGCTCGGCTCGCACTCTCTTCTGATCGGATGCCCCAGCTTCTGTCGTATCTTAACGTTGTTAAAGATATGTGTGCTGGGTGCTTGGATGAACTTAAAAGTCAAACTGTTTGATTTTTCCATCTCTTTTTTCCTCTTCTCTCGACTCGTCTCTTTCTCTTTCTATCTCATCTCTCTTTCTCTATTTCTCTGTTATGATCTCTTCTCTTTTTTATACAGAAACAAAACAAAACTAAACACTTGAAAAGAATTATTAAAGGGCACGCGAAACAATCGAAACCTGACAGCTTACTTACTTACTTACGATACATACATACATATATACTTGAAAAACCAAAGAATAGTTGTTTTTAGTGACGATTAACAATCAAAAAGAGACTACAATTAATTACTACGATCAGCACGATCACAACTCCTCCGACTTGGGCGACTGTTTCGACCACGCCCACTACGGAAACAACTTGACCCGAACGATCACATACGTCCAATCCATACACGCTTCCAACTTCTTGAAAAGTTTATCTGATCTCATCGATCGGTCTATCTATCTATCTATCTGAATTTATATATATATCACCCCCTTCTCATCTTCCTTGTTTTTTCCTCCCTCGTTGCTCTTGTTTTTTTTTTTTCTACACGATCGTCTCTTCCATCTTTACACATATATATATACACACTCTCTTCCTCGTCCCCCTCGCCCTTATCGAACCTCTCCATCTTCCATCACCCATCTCTGCTCATTTTTTCCCCCTTTCCCTTTCCCTTCCTTTTTCATGATTGTTCGTCGTCAGTTTTGTATTGGTTTCGGTGCTGTTGTGTTGTGTTGGTTAGTAGATGTGTGTTCAATCCAGCTTGTTTGGTTATTTGTAAGTGAACAAAAAAGAAACAAACCCCCGAGTGTTATACGTAGCTGATCTCATCTGTGGTAGCCGTGCTTTTCGCATCTGGTGGGGGGTGGTGGGGAGAAGGACGTGTTGCTGGATGATGGGACGGATTACTCGTCGTCGTCGTCGAGGGCATGGGCTTCATCCGGCTCCCAAAGCGGCGAGCCAGCTCAACGAAACACCCCCAACTCACATAAGCGAAAAACACACACACACAACTTGTTGGAGCTCATTGCGCAAATTACAGGGTCATCATGAGCCTCACTAAAAGTGCCATGTAGTCTCATAGACGCAACAAGAGGTTGTGGTCACGCTTCTTTGGACTACGATCATCACGATTTCATGGCAGTCGGATTTAGGGGGCCGCTCAGGTTGTAACTTGTATGTATATGATCATCAATAAAAGCAAATCGGAAAGTAAAGTAAAATGGAATGTAATCAGGCTGCAAGTGGCTAGAAATTTGGAGTATTAAATCTTGTAATGATTAAATGGAGCAAATATGTAAGTGGATTATCGAGAGTGGAAATAATCATAACACATTGATGGTGCTTATTTATCCTTTTTGGCTTGAATGATTAATGATTCAGTAGCAGGAAAAATTGCCACAAGTCACAGATTTAATCAATCAAGTGCAATGTTGATCTTGATTCAGGGAGAAAATAAGAAAGTTATGGCCTAGATGAACTAGGTTTGTTTGAGATGAGTTGATGATCAGAGACTGGGTTTAAATCCTTGACATATCTCTGTATATCTACCTTCAAGATAAGTTGGCGTTGGAAGGGAGGTTTCTTTCTAGGATGCTGGATTCTGTCGAGCTCCAACTTCTTCACGTCCTCTTCCCAGGGCAACATATTGATGGATTTGTACTCCTCAAAGACCTTCCTGAATTCCTGGCCAGGGACGGCTCCAAACAGCTTGCATTGAATGTTGAAAAACAGGGAGGCCAGGTTCTGGTCCTCCTTGAACGCCGCCTTCCATTTGCCCGGATTGGCGAGCTTGTAGTACGTTCCCAGTGCTTGAAGGACCCCCTCACTCAGACAAGGATCGCTCTTGTATAGCGTGATGTATCTTGGTTCTTGTTGTTTTGACTTTGTAGAGTATTGGAGCACTTCATAGGCTTCCATGTTCCCATTTGATAGAAAGAATTTCACGAATAAAGTCTTGTCAACGTTTTCTAAAGATCCATGATTGGAAGATTCACGTTTGTTGTACAGTTTTAAAAACCATTGTTGAACACTCCTTTGTTCCTCATAATAACTCAAATCTGACAGATCCCTCCCATATAATCTTAGGAGGATGGAGTTATACAACCACAGAGATTCCAAGAACTCGTCAATCTTCTGTTCAGAAAAATTCTCAAGCGTGTATTCTGAGGAAAACTTGGCACGGAGTTCCTGGAAACTGTGTTCATTAGCCAGCTCTGATCTCAACGCGTTCTCCAGATCTTCCGTGGGCTCTTTATAATGTTTGATCATCGAGATCCAGGCCCAAAAGATAGGCTCTTGTTTTCCCATATCGAATACATTTACTTTTCCAAGGCGAAGCGGCACCGGATTCCGGAATCTCGGGTTCCTCATCACTTGAAACTCGTCACGACTCTTAATAGAACTGTCTAATCGATTAACTAACCATGAGGTATGTTCGTCTTGAGCTTTAAATCCAGCCGGATTGAAGTCTGGCGATAGTCGGTTTTCCCATGGTAACAGAGTTGAGGCAGTCGATTTACTCTTTTTATAAAGCGGGGTTTTAATCTTAGAGTCGTACTGAGAAATGTTAAGATATCTTTGTATCTTTGCCAGTTTCATCAAAAACGATCGTTCATCTTCAAAAACCTCGGCCCATTTCCTATGGTTTCTAATCTTGTAATAGTTGCCCATTGCCCTGATGACCAATTTGAGGAGGAGGATATCGCGTTCGGAGACTTCGGTGTACGCGCCATGGGGGCGATTAGTCTTGGGCACACGAAGCTCGGAGTGGTGTTGGTTGGACAGGAGATATTCGAAGAGCGATTCTTTGATCTTGGTTGATTCGGGAGTGATGGAAGCGTGATGATGGCCGTCATTGAGACACTCGACCACCTGCTCATAATCGTCTTCCGAAAGAAGGCTCACTAGCCACCGTTGGATGGCCATCTGCGCCTCGACATACTCCTTGTCCCCACTATCGTAGCCCCAGAAGTGCAGAAGTCGGTGGTTCAAGCACCATAAGCTGTTCACAAAATACACCAAGCGACTGTGGAGCGATACCCCATCGGGCGAGAACACTCCTTCCTCAGTCATCTTTTGGGCGTATAGTTTCAGTTCCAGCGAGATCGTCTCTTCGAGTGCCGATGCCAACTCTTTGCTTATTCCATGGGCCTCGCTAATCACTGCTCCCGGAGTTGCTTCCCAAAGCATCGAGATCCATGCCCAGAATTTGGCATCCTTCTCTTGCCATTGGAATGAATTAAGCTCCCTTTCAAGCAGATTTTCTTCTTCTTCTTCTTCTTCAAAGTGAGTATTTTCAACTTCATAATGAGCACCTTTATAATTTGTGTCATGGACCATGTCTTCATTGATTCCTGAATGAACTGCTTGTGAGTCACTTTCCTGACTCTCAGTTTCAAACCTATCTACCAAAGCCTTCTTGTATTTGATTTTTTGATTTGATTCCAATTGCTTGGGACCACTTCCATCCATATTCATCCCATCTGGCTCTGTTGCTGAATGCCCTTGTCCATGTGTATCCTGCTGCTTCTCAGCATCATATCTATTCAACAAAGCCTTCTTATGATTTATTTTCTCTAACCTTAATTCAGTGGGGGGTCTGTTTGCATTCATCATATTTTGCGCCATTGCTGGATGAACTTCTTGGATAGATTCCACATCCTCAGGCCTTTTTCCTTTGTTTTTGAGACTTGCAGTTATCTCTAAGCCTCCTTGATGTGAATCCAATTGGTAATTGGATCCAGAAGTGTCTATGGAGCTCTTATCACGACTTGCAATTTCATCTTTGTTGTTTTGTTGAATACCATTTTCTCTGGCATGTTCTCCAGAGCTGGGACCAAGAGTAGAATCTTGTTCCTCAGTGACTGGCATATTCAGATCCAATCCTCCTGCCATTGCATTGTTGATTCTGCTTTCACCCTCTCTTCCACTACCCCCAAACTCAACATTATTCACGTCACCTGGAACTGCTCATGCACATCATATGAAATCAACAATCAACTTATCCTGTCCCATAGATTTCTTTCATTATGCTGGATTTCAATTGACTTACCCAGAGCTGGCTCAACGTTTGATCTGGGATCCGTATATCTTCCGGTCAATTCATGGTGTAAGTTGATCGTGTCATCAACTGGTCTCTTTCCCGTCATTTCATGATATCTGTTACTTGTTCCAAAATCGAAAGCTGTATTTGGTTTTAGGTGCAATATCATGAAGAAAACAAGCATCTTCAACAATATTCCCTCCAAAAAATAGTCCACAAAAGACTCACATCTCAAATTAGCATGATGATCTTGGGAGGAGCTGGTGTGGGAAATGTAAGGGATAGTCTCTGCCCATGGGACTGAACTTCCTAGGCGGGGCTTCTTTGGAATCGAGGAGCTGTGGGTTGCGGCAAACCCAGCATGGTGGGAGTCTGATTGTGGGATGGAACGGTCACTGCGACCAATTCTACTGTCTACATCCTCAAATATCATCTTTTCATGAGCATCCCCTTCTGCAAGAATCGTATAAGGGTAAGTCAGATTTTTTTTTTTCTTATTTCCAAGAGCGCGAAGCTATATGGACTGACTGCTGTGCTCGGTATCGCTGCTAATCGTGAGGTCGATCAAGGTAGCCCGATCGGATGACTTTGGCTTGATGAACTCGTAATAGGTGGGCGTCCTTGAGCTCGGAAGGTCATCATCGGCTGGCGGCGCTGATGACAACCTGCGAAAAAAAAAAGATTGATCATCAGTTGTTAGATCGCCCTTCAACTCTAGTACAGTCCATGCGTCACTCAACCCAATGTTTCTGGAACTGGACACAGGAAACTGGCTCTGGGATGGCGGATCGATTGATGCGCTTGGGAGTGCTGACGCCAGGGCGGAAGAAGCGGGTCGTTTGCGCCCCACAGTCGCTCCTTCCGCTGAGTGTTCTGCACGCGCTGGGCCCCACATGCCTGCAGAGACTCCGGCCGGGGACAGATAATCGTAATATAGGAATAGACTACATGCCACGCGCAGAAATGATAAACTAGCTACCATCTTTAAATCGATCAAATCGCAAGTAACTTATGGAATCGATGGGGGAGAAAGAGACTCAAAGGGCTCAAGTTCAAGCGAGTCCAGCTTTTAAGCTGAAAATTTTCTTAAGAAAAAAAAACATACAGACTGAATCATGTACATCATGAGAGCGGCGTCTGTTGCACTTTTGTCTTACTGGATGAGTGTGCTGCGATGTATGGCTCTCTGACATTGTCGTCGGCCTGCAGAGGCTACGTCACACACCATACAGACAGTAAGGAAGCGCAGCGATATAAGTTATAACACACTGTGAAAGAAGATAAAACATGTGCCCATCGAGGTCCGCTTGGCCCCCCGGCAAGTACATGGACAAAAACATGTTTTTGTGTGCTCAGATCCGGGTAGCCTTTTGGAATTGTATCTAGGTCTCTTGTCGGTACGACTTGTGAGGAGGATCTGCCCCTGAAAGCCCCTGCGAGACACAATGACGTGCTGACTGTTTACCTCTTTGGAACTGAGTGAGACTGTGGAAACTGTTGTTTTGAAAACAGATTTCTGAGAAAGGTCAGTATACTTTTTTTTTGACTGAATTTCTGGAAAGTTTGGTTGAAACAAGTTGCTACTTTTGGCTGAAAAAAACTGCTGAGCAATTGTATGAAACTTGTGCCTGAGAGCCAACATGATATGTACTTGGTTGACGGCTTGAATGCTGATCTTGTCACATTCATTCACCAGCCTTAAAAGCTGGTTGGGCAACAAAGTGGATCTCTGTGCTAGCATCCTGCATCCATCTCATTATGTCCCCACATGAGTGGATCCCCGTGTCCATTCTACTGAAGAAACAAACAGCAAATGAAAAAAAAATCATCTGATGTCAAGTTTTCATGAATATATATTTGATGAGGTGGTGGAGATAGCAGGGATTACAGTAAGCAAATAGCAGGGACAGGGAGAGAGCCACCAATATGAACACAAAGAAACTGGTGAGCTGCTAATAGGGGGGTTCACAATAGCTTTTTTGGCTTATGGTCCCCCCTAAAAAAAATTCTTGCTGGTGAAATTTTTCAGCTAAATATTAAGCTAAAATCTCTGGCACAAAAAATGACCAGCATCCATAAAACTTGCTGGTCATCTCATAACTTCCATAAAGTTATACTCCCCATGTGTTACCTCCTCCATCCAGCATACGGCCTGTACATCACCTCCATCGATGGCCTGACCGGTCAGTACCAGTCATCGATGGCAGTGCACTACACACACACCTTCATAATCGCTGACCTGTGTTGACCGGTCATCATTGGGGATACTCTACACACTACCATCAATCAACACCAGTTGAGCCAGTTGATGGTTGTGCATGAACATTGATAACAAGTCAGAATCTGGTTATACATACTAGTGCCCACCATCAATGACCGGTCAGGGTCATTGATGGTGATACGATGATCAACACGATTGATGAGCAATCAATGCTGGTCATTGATGGTGTCAATTAATGTTGCACCATTGATGACCGAGGTCATCAGAGTGTGTATGTACTCCAATTGATGACCGGGCCATCGAATGGAGTTGTGAACTTGAGGGGTGTGTGATGTGTATGTATGCAATCAATCGCCGGTCTAGTCCGGCCACCTGGGTCATGATGAGATGACACCAGAACGTTTCCATAGGTGAGCCAGATGTTAAATGTTTCTGGTGGGTCACTCCTGGTGTCTTAAATTTTCACTAAAATTCTAAGTTGCGCAGCATGCGCAACTCTACTGGTGGGACGATAAAACTTTTCTGGTGAAAAGCTATCGTGAACCCCCCTAATACATGTTGCAATGTTTTTCCCATGATTAACTGCACCAAATTTAAATAGGAAATATTTCTGGGGGATGAGAGTTACAAAGCAGTGAGAAAGATCAGAAAAAAGTAATCAAATGAGTTTTTATTTTTTTTATTATCTATTTTAGCTTTCATTCTACCATTTCTCAATCATCAGCAAAAATGCTCATTTGTTTGTTGTAAATGCTTCTCAATATTGGTAATCCTTTACATATCTCTCCAAATCTAATTTGTTGGTTAATGGACGTTGAAAAGGTGATCTCCTTTTGGAAGGGTGGATTTTATCAACATTCAGTTTACCAATATCATCTTTCCATGGCAGCATATTGGTTGTCTTGAATTCATTGAAGAAGTTGAATTCTTCACCAGGCTCACTGGAGAAAATCTTGCATTGGATATTGAAAAATAAGGAGGATAGGTTCTGGTCTTCTTTGAAGATTGCTTTCCATTTTCCTGGATTGTTCCTTTTGTAATAGCACCCAAGAGCATAAATCAATGCTTCACTGAGATGTGGGTCACTCTTGTAAATTTTGACATGTTCTATACTTTTCCGTCTTGACCTTGGAGAAAATTTGAGCACTTCATATACCAAAGTTTCCCTTGTTGTAACAAAGAATTTTCCAAACAAAGACTTGTCAATTCTTTCCAAGTATTCACTTGAAGTGTCACCTTTTTCATAAAGCTTTAAAAACCATTCCTGAACTTCCTTTTGCTCCTGATAGTAACTCATTTCTGTTAATTCCCTTCCATATAATCTGAGAAGTACAGAATTGTATAACCAAAGGGAGTCTAAGAATTCATCAAGTTTTTCCCTAACAAAATCATGCACAGTATTAGTAGATACATTATTTTTTAATTCTTGGAAGCTTTTTTCATTCCAAAGAGATGATTTCAATTCCTCCTCTAAATATTGTGTATCTTGTTTATAACTTTTGATCATTGAAATCCAGGCCCAAAATTTGTTATATTGCTTTCCCATGTCAAACAAATCCATTTTTCCAAGCTGCAGGGGTACAGGACCTCTTACCTTAGGAATTGGAATGTTTTGGAAGGATGGCCAACTTTTAACAAACCTGTCTAAAAATTCATCTTGTAGCCATTGGGAATGTTCATCAATGTTTATGAATTTACCTAAAGATTTTAATGGAAATCCTTCCTTCCAGGGAAGACTGGTGGATGTATTCTTTCTGTAGTGCCTTTCTCTGCGTTCATCATATTGAGATATGCTGATGTATCTTTGAATCCTTGCAAGTTTGGTCAAAAAGGTTTCTTCATCTTTGAAAACCTCTAACCATTTCACTTGGTTCTGAAGTTTGTAATAATTACCCATAACCTGCACCACAGCTTTGACTAGGAAAATGTCTCTTTCAGAGATTTCAACTTGAGCTGAGTTGAAACTATGATTCCTTGATACATGATAAGCTAAAGCCTTTGGGTCAGAAAATATATATTTGAACAGTGATTGTGTAATTTTTGTTTCTCTAGGTGTAATGTAAGCTTGCTGGTGTCCATTACTCAAACAATCTATTACTTCTTCATCCTCATCCACTGAAACAACATACAACAACCAGTTTTGGATCATATCTTGTTCTTGTAGATACACCTCATTTCCACTATCATAGCTCACAAAGTTCAGGAGTCGGTAATTAAAGCACCATAAGGCATTTACAAAATAAACCAAGTGACTGTGCAGTGAAATTTGATCAGATTGACTCCTGTATTTTTGAGATTCATTTTTCTTGTAAATCATGAACTTTTCTGATATAGCCTCCTCAAGCTTAGATGCAAAATCTTGGCTTCTTTTGTGCACCTCACTAATAACTTTCCCTGGGGTGGCTTCCCAAATCATTGATATCCAAGCCCAAAAATTGTTGCCTTTCTCTTTACAATGAAAATAATCACTTTTCATCAAAGTATCTGACTCCTCATTTTCAAAGGAATTCCTTTCCAAATTGATGGCTCTTCCATTTCTACTTATCAAATTTTTCCCCATGAGAGAATTCACATGATTCTTGAATTCAAAACTGTTGTGAAACCCCTTCTTATATGCCTGATTTATTTTCATTTCTTTAGGTCTTCTTTTTTTACTGTTCAAATATTTCACCATTTCTGAATTATCTTCTTGAAACTTTTTCTTTTGCATTACTTGTAAGTTATCTAAAAATCTCTCCTTGGGTCTTTGAACAATCCCCTTAGGTTCATTAATTCTTTTGCCTTTGTATCTTTCTTCAGGACTTGAGCCAGGACTAATATTTTTGCACCTTTCTCCAGGACTTAAATCAGATGCATACTCTTGCAACTCAGATACTGGAATATTCAGATCAAATTTTTGTTGAGATTCATCATTGATCTTGTTCTCAATATGTGTTCCTCTTTCTACAAATTGAAAATTACCCAGGGCCACATGATTTGGATCTGTTCATGCACATCAACCCACACTGGATATTCAGCTTCTTCACAGTAGGCCAATATTAGAAATAGCAGACATACATTTGGATGTAGCACAAAGATCTTGGCAGGATCTAGTGTGGACCGTGTACGGGATGGATTCTGACCCTAGTACTTCATTTCCGAAGCAGGCATCTTTGGGGATAACAAGGGAGCTGCGTGATCCACCAAACCCTGTATGATGAGAGTCCATTTGTGGGTCAGACAGGTAACTGCCACAACCGATTCTTCTGTCTACCCCGTCAAATATCATCATTTGATAGGGTGCCCGTTATACCAGAATAAAATTAGTAATATTTCATGACAAATCAGGACAGTCTTCTGGATTCTAGTAGTGTGAATTTAGTTGGACTGACCACTGTGCTTTGTGTGACTGCTAGTTCCAAGGCCGATTGACTCAGCGCGACCTGGCAAATCGTTCTCCATAGACCCGTGTAGGTTGGAATTTTGTGAGCCCGGAGGTTGCCCGGCTAGCGGCTCCTGGTGAGTCCTACCAAATTCCCATTCATTAGCAGTTGTTAGATCAGCCATCGGAGCTACAACCCAGTTAATATCAGTCATCGGAGCTACAGCCCGGTTACTATCAGTCATCGGATTCGGAGCTACAGTCTAGTTACCCAAAGCCATCCCTGAACACCATGTCATCGTTTCTTCTGAAACTGGAAACAGCCAGTTGGGCCTGGGATGAGGGATCCAATCGTGCCATTTGGTATGATGATGATTCATCGACAGAAGAAGCGGGCCGCTTGCGTCCTATATGCGCACCCTCCGCTATTTTTTCAGCACCGGTGGAGTCCCACATGCTTGCAGAAACGCCCGGAGGCACGTAGACACATATAAGAAAGAGACAACATGCTACGCGCAGAAATGATAAACTAGTGAGCATCGTTTGTTACACGAAACGTTGAAGTAGAAACCAGAGGGAATTGGATTTCAAAAGGCTCAAATTCATGTGAGCTCAGCTTTTAACCTGAAAATTAACGTCACCAGAGGATCTCATTGACATATCTGAATTTTTAATACCAAAGTTCAGCTGCGAGTTATTGCTAACTTCAGCAATTAGTCTCTCACAAAATTGGAGGGGGGGGGGGGCATCCCGGAGTTAGTGGTCCGCAGACTCGCCGTCGATTAGCCCACATCCCATGGGCAGTAGAAAGCATAGCTGGATGTTTCAAAGACACTGGAACCCAAGTTAAATTTCCTGCCCCACAGCGCCCCTCCTCCAAGAAAAGAGGGGATCAGCTGATTTGTGCTGAATCACACAATGAAAAAAAAAGATAAAGCATATTAATCTTTCCTTATCCCTGTAATGCAAGTGGATAAAAAGTCTCACTTGTTGTAGCTCTTGGCAATTCAAATCTGTACAACTCCTGACGATGGTTTTGCCACCAGAATATCTGATATGTACGTACAGAAGCACACTGCAAAAACCTCAGCCTCAGGGGACATCTTTTATTTCATCTGCTATAACAGTCAATTTGAAACAAAGTCATACTTGTAAATTTTTGTGAAAAATCTGGTTTTGGAAATAGAAACACACATCAGTACCCATTTATTTTTCAATCTGCTATTTGATTGGTCTGGAAGAGGTGAGTGTGAGTGTGAGGTTTGTTGAGGTTTTTTTTTCACTGTGGGAAACAGGTTTCCTATGGTGGAAGCAGAGCACAGCATTGTAATGTATTGAAAATACTTCCACCAGTTGAAATCTTGGAAATAGGAGGACGTATGTCATACTAAACAATTAGATTAATTGACAATCAAAAAGTTTTAAGGCTTGAAGATACCCAATTGTTGATTTTTGTTTTTACTTTCTAACTCTTCTTCTTATTCCAAATTCAGATTAAAATTTCCTCCCTTCATGTGTTGAGCCTTGGATATCTGTGATTGCTTTCAAAACCGGAAATAAGATGATTGATTTGAGATAATTGGAGTGGATCAGTCTACTCTTTGGTGCTTCAATGATTGACTGTATTCAAGTAGAATAAGCCCCTTTGAAACCCCACCTATCTTGTGTGGTTCATAAATCAATTATCTGATTAGATAAACCCTTGTTTAACCAAGGTTCTTAGTCCTAGCAGTCCTTTTCCCCTTCCCAGCTCAGTAGAAATTCAATAAAAAGTCACCATTCTCTGGGATAGCCAAGTTCTTGCCCTCCTCTCTCTTTTACTTCTCTTTCCATCATCATAAGAACTCAATATTCCAGAATGACACATCACTCTGAGCTAAATCTGAACAATAAAACTGTCAGAGGTTGGTTCTAGCATTTATCCAATACCCTAGAGCCCTGTCACATGTTTCCTTTCAAAAAGATCCCTTGAAATGTCTCCAACCTGTGAAGGCCTTAGGCCCCTTCAAGGAGCAAAGTGCCCTCTTCAAAGGTGGGGATTTGATATGGATTTCAAGAGGTATGGCAGGTTTTTCAGATCTGGCTGGGAAAGCTCAGTTTTAAATAACTTTTTGACTATCTCAGGAATAGTCTTTTGAGGAACAGAAAAGATGAAGGAAAAGGGCTTAACTTTGAATTCATTTTCACCAAGTTTGGTGGTCCTCCTTCCCCTCAAAATGGATTTACAAAGACCTTCAAATGTGGATTCAATAAAATTTCACAACTGATCCAGAGGAAGGGGGGGGGGGGGGGAGTGACCACAAAACAAAACAAGAGAAAAGGCTCTCTGGATTAAAAAAGGATTCTAGATGCCCTATTTTAAGGGCAAGGTCTACTAGCTTGTGTGGCGGTGTAGTATGCCAATTGTGTTTCAAGTATCAAATTGCATAAAATCACAGTCCAATATGTATAATGGCATATATTCTTAGGTTTATTATGGCATAATCACATTCTAAGGGTCATTTAACCCATAGTCACTCACTGGAACCACTAGGCTAGCTCCACTCAGTCAGAAGTTATTTGGGATTTAAATTTTATTTGCATACAAAATGCTTATTGCATAATTTAAACCACAAGTTAGCCTTAGTTTGTTTACATATTCAATATTCATTGCATAGTGTAACCACAAGTTGGCCGCATTGTTTGTAGGTACACTGAGAATCTTGTATAGTAGGAAAACCACAACTTGGCCAGATTTTTAGATGCATATTCATTATGGGTTAGGGCTAGAACCACAAGTTGGCCATTTATAGACTATAGGTTAGGGCTAGAACCACAAGTCAGCCGGGTTGTAAAATAGACTATTTAAGGAGGGGCTTTCCCCCCTCATTCCAGTTTTTCATCATCTCATCTGATCATAAACCAGACAGAACAGAGCAATCAATCCAAACATTAACCAGTGTTATCTTAATCAAGTGCCCCACTGAGATCATTCAGACTTTGAGAAGCATAGCAAAAGGAAATTAAACAACCAGTACAACTTGTGATCTCAAAAACAAGATACAGTGATCTTAAACCATTGTGCTCCCAACCAAGGTTAAGGAAGAAGGAAAAGATGAATAAACACATTTTTTTCTCAGTAGTATCTCATAAATTATCATTCGTTATCAGTACATACTCCAATCATTTTTCAAAATACATAAAACATATAAAAAAGAAAACACATCTTACTCAACAATTCCACTCCAATAGTATGCTGAATTCATGTTGATCTAGGTTTGATAAGAGACTGCTACACATAGTTTTCTCTATCATCAGTTTTTTCCACAACAATAAATAAATTGTTGTGTTAACTCTTGTGTAGTACAATAGAGGGGAAGGTCTTTCAAACCAGCCGTATCAGTTGTAGAAGATCATTACATATGTGATACATCTCATCTGCTATTTCCCCCTCACAGGACTGCCACCATTCCCATAGGAGTTCTCACAGCGGGAAAGCATGCACACTACATAAGGCTGTATTATTTGCCTCAGGGATCAATAGCAGAAAATAAGATGAGTTTTCATGACTATCCATGAATCTTGTTGATTTAACTATCACAATAGTGAGATCTCAGGTGTGGGTCAGAAGGTGGGATGAATATGCATCTGGAGAGAAAGAAACAAGTGAAAGGGATGGAAGAGAGAAAGAGGAGAGAGATTAGGAAAAAATTGAATGCCAACAGGATTTTCTCTGGGAGTCCAGGGTTTGAAGATTTGTGTCTTTGTGTTGGAAAAAGCTGACACACTAATCAACAATGGGCCACTGTACTGTGCTTTTTGCCCAAAAATTGTGTTTTTTTGTGCACAGAAATTGTGCAGGATTAGCAAAATGTTAGCAGCTTTTTGATACACTACACTGCACTATATATGGGCCCCTATTGGTTGCTACATAGCCAAAATGCCGCCCACCAGCACGGTAGTGCAGCATAGCCAGCACTTTTTGGGGGGCCTGCAGGTGTAGTGTTAGCCTGGACATGGCAGAATTCCGCTACACTACACTAAACTTTAGCAGAATTCTGCTGCAGTGTGCAGCACCAACACTATGGTTAATGTAACTGGCCCACCATAGAACTATATTGACATGTCACAGATACGGATACTCATTATCTGAATCACTGCACACAACATGGGAAACAGCAGTGGCGCAATGATGATAGACAAGGTTGAAACCTAATGTAGACGGGACTATTTCTACTTCATTTCTTTCAGTTGTATTTCTCTTCTTCATTCAAGTTTCATACTTCTACTTGTCTCATTGCTCAACTCGCCTCCATTTCTCTCATCTTGTCGCGGACGTTCAGGTGTGAACAGTTTTCATCTTTTCATTCATGTCTATCACTCACTTATGTTCATTTGTCTTTCAGGTCTGCTTGTCTTTCTGCTCACTCGTGTCGGTGGTCACGCTCTGACACCTCGTCGGTTCTCATAAAGGTGTGTATTGCAATATCATTCAAGTTTCATACTTCTACTTGTCTCATTGCTCAACTCGCCTCCATTTCTCTCATCTCGTCGCGGACGTTCAGGTCTGCTTGTCTTTCTGCTCACTCGTGTTGGTGGTCACGCTCTGACACCTCGTCGGTTCTCATAAAGGTCTGCTTGTTTCTCTGCTCACTCGTGTTGGTGGTCAAGCTCTGACACCTTGTCGGTTCTCATAAAGAACTCACACCTTTCTCGTCCATTAAACTAATTATAAGGATCTCTTATAGATCCTTTGCTGATCAGTACCAGAACCAAAGCCTTATGCTTTGGGACAGAAAAATTCTAGAACTGTAGTGTATTTGATTGCTAGCACAGTAGAAATGGTAAGTTGGGTCTCTATTGAGCTAGAAAGGGGACGGTGTAAGACTCAAAAGCGGTTGTGAAACCCTTTTGCTGAATGGAGAAGGGGATGGTGGAGTTGCAAGCTCTGCCCTTCTATGCTATCAGAACAACAAGACCACCAAGCTCAGCTTGGCAGTTTATATATCGTGATAGAGGATAGTTCGAGATGAAGCTGTCAAGTGATTCGTATAACGGTTAATGGTGTTGATGGTGATTGTTGATGATGATGTTGATGTTGATGAAGTTGTTGATAGAGGTGTCAATGATTGTCGTCGAGGTTGAGGCTTGAACGCAGGTCCTTGAGGTTGAGGGTATATAAAGTTAAAAAGAGGTGATTTGGAACCAAGGCGCTGGGCGCTGGGAGCACTATGCTTCAACCAGGAATGGAACAGGGGACTGGGCACTTGGTATGATGATGATGATATGAAAGGATTATGAATATATTGCGATAAAATAAGGGTGGTTATATAACTGTGACTTGTAATATAATGGGTGGTGATTGTAAGGGTGGTTGAGATGATCTGGTCCACTGGTGGGATGATGAAAGGTACAACTGGCAGGCAGAGGCCTCCTTATATAGACAAAAGTGAAGGATTTTAGCTCCAGGGTACATGCAGGTGAGGGAATTTAGCTGGCCTGAAAATACAATGAGGGAATTTAGCTAGTCTAGTACATGCAGGTGAGGGAATTTGGCTGGTGAGAGCACTGCCTTGAGGGATTTTGGCTAGCCTACAAGGTCCTACTACAAAGGAATGCATGTGCACCTACAAAGGAATTCAATATGAAATATAAGCCAGTAAAGGAATTCAATATGAAACAAAGGAATTCAATATGAAATATGCATCCAGTATTCAAAATGAGCTATAGTCAGAGTAAAGAATCCAAGAAATATCCTGTGATAGGTTAAGATAAGTGTAACTTCTGAACTAGTAGAGATAAGAGGGTAGTTGCAGTGAGTGACTAGGGGTTATTTTACCTCAGGAATCCATTTTTGATGTCATTTTTACCCTATCTTCAATTTTTAGAGACATAATAATAATTTTTTTATATTTTTGGCGTAGAAACACAGGAATAATTACCACATCCTCCCCCAACTTATTGACTGTCCCCAGTCAATTCTGACTTTGACTGTGTTTCGGAGTTGTATCTACAGAAAAAAATTGAAAGAGCCTGGCCTTGCGTGTGTCTGATTGGCTTGAGGGGTGTTGAGTTGATGATGAATTTGTGTCCCCGAGTTTTGACAAAGCGTGCGTCCAGAGGACTTATGGATTTGACCGGTGGTGAATTTGTTTGTCGAGTATTGTACATGAATCTTACAGCCGGAGAACTCGCTTATTTGTCCAACTTTTTTGATTGTAGTAAAAAATATGTTTTTGTCTTGTTTTATTTATTTTATTTTGTTTTTGTTTTTATTTTATTTTATTTTCATCAAGTACTGGGATTGAACTTGGGTCCTCAGAAAAAATGACTTTTATTTTTGTGTAGTGGTACATATAGTTTTGGAGAATAAAAACTTAGGAAAAGGTTGTAAAATTGAGCTCAGATCTCAAAAACACCATTCTGGAGTTTGTAGGGTCAAAGATTTGAATATGGTGAGAGTGGGGCTTGAACCCAGGGCTCAAAGTGGTGATGAGGCCCTTACCAACTCGACTAAAGGTGCAGTTGGAGATTGGCTTGGTTTGGAATTCGACTCGTTCGCGCTGCAGTTAGAATGTATTAGCCCTGTCACAGGTATGAAAGGGCCCGATCCGATCGGCGATGGAGTACCCTCCGTTTGGTAGGTCTCCATGGATACCTTCTCAATTTTCTCGTCCGTCCCGTCACGTATATCTCGAATTCAATCCCAGCAAACGCCTCGAACGATACTTCGACTGAATCTCGACTTTGCTTCTGCCCGCTTCGAATTCTTCGTGCGACTCGACCGATGGTTTATCCATCTGGACAAGTAAGTCTTCTTCAATTCTCTTCTCTTTTCATCTGACGGCTCCCTGACTCGAACTATCTACCCCTCTTGACAGGTAACCGATCTTCTGCCGCCACTAGCTTTGTCCCCGGAGACTTTGTGCTCTTGTTGCTGCCGGTACGTCCTTCCTCTTTCTTCTAATTCGTTTATCCATCTTGTCTCGTCACCACGCTTGCATCCTAGTTCTCACCCCGGCTGACTCCCACGTTAATGTGATCCTTTCTTAGTGTAATCTAGGCTCAAGGAGACCACGGCCGTTGTTTTGACAACTCAAACCCACTACGTTTCGATCGAACCATACCGCTACCTCTGCCTTTAGTCCTTTCTCCCCACGATGCCTGTTCTTTTCTGGAAGCCACCTTGGTTTTCCTTTGATCCTCTCGATACCTTCGCAAGCGCCATTGTCTCGTCCATAAATACCGGCCTCGCCTCCGTGTTTCCGATCTTTCCTCATCAGCTCTCTTCGCCAGCCAACTACATCCACTTCCATTCCAACCTTCAGTACTTCCTCCACATCGTATCCCAAGCCGTGCTCTGTCACCTTGCCCCTGCTATCACTATGTCTTCCAATAACTCTAACATGTCCTCGCCTGTCGAAATCCCAGCCCCTCGCGGCTACCAAGCGATCTCCAATCCAACTCCCATCGACGATGTAAGTCCTCACACCTTTCAATTCTACTCCTTATTGATCGCCAGTCCTGACCCCGTCCTTGTTTCTAGACCTCCTTTGTGCAGAATGGGATCCGCTACTACCCCGAGCGCGGCGATTGGAGCCCGCTATTCGTGCCTAACGCTGAAGTGAGTTTGATTGTTCATTCTCTTCCTGATCTATCCCTGACTAGCTTTACTGATTGGACTTTTATTCGTTAATGATATAGACCCCTCGCACCGCGGACATCCCTGTCGATCCAATGGCTGGCAATGAGGCTACTCCAGTAAGTTTCTCTTTTTTCTTCAGGGTTTGTTGTGCCTTCACGTTTGACTGATTGTTGCTCCTCTGCTCCTCTCCTGTGTGTTCTAGGTTGGTCAGGCTGCTGGAGCTCAGGTTGACCCCATGTCTGTTCAAGACATCGAGATGAAAGCTGTACGTCCTCGTTTTCTTGCTGTTCATTCTAGAAGCTTGAGCTTATATCCTTTCGTCGCCAGACCGCCCTCGACAACGCTCCCGACTTCTCTCGTCCTCCGCCTATCAAGGCCTTCCCAGCTCCCATCCCTCTTCCTTATGGGATGGAGCTCATCCAAACTGGTACCCACTTCCTTCCTCAAAAGGAAAAGTGGCAAAGCCTCTACGATCCGGCCAGGAACTTCGATTTGGTAAGCTAATTTAGTCTTCTGTTCCGTGGTTGCTTGTTGTTATACCCTAACACTATCTTCCCTCCTTTCTAGTCCACGATCCCAGACGAAGTCCCTGTTCCTCGAGGGTTTATCGATCCTCATCCGTTCTGCGACATGCCTGTGTGCTGCGACCCCGTGGTACGTCCTTCCTTTCTTAATCTTCTCCTTGTTGTCTTCAGGTTACTGATCCTGAGTTTTGATTTTGTCTTCTTCTGTAGTTCCAAAACCCGCCGCCTGGACTCGTCCTTCCTGCTGTTACTCCGCTCATGGCCGCCAATATTCCATCACACGCTCCTGGTGCTCATCCAGCTTCGGCCTCGTCCTCCACTTCTGATTCCTTGACCTATCCACCGCTCTCCGAGTTCCTTCACCTTGATCACAAATCTGTCCAGGGCCTGCTCTCCAAGAAAAATTCACCACCGGAAGCCACCTGCTTGCTGAAGAGGATGTCATGCGAATTTTCGAAGGTATCGCCCCCGAGTTCGTTTGGCTTTGTGATGATTTCCCTCCTCACACTTTAAATGAATTCGACCGTTGTGTTATGTTCTTTGAGAACATGCAATGGCACTTTAAGTGCAAGAAGTCCACCTACTTGTCGACCCGTAACTTCTGAGTATTGTTGTCTTCTTCTTCTTTTTCCTAAAACCCAAAAAAATTTGTAAAAGATAAAAGAAACTAAAAAATTAAAACTTCTTCAAACCTCAAAAAAAACTTTTGTATCCTCTTTTATCCCTGACTACTCCTCCTCCAGTTATTATTAGTTATTACTTTTTCCTTCTTTTCTTGATTTTTTTCTTTTCAAGTAAATAAATTTTTAATTTTTCTAATTGATTGACCAGACCCCCTCCCCCAACTTTGATGGTTGTCCCCAACCATGGCTGATTTTAGTGAGTAAGAGTGAAGAAATCTTATTGAAGAAAATGAGTTTGAAGAAAGAGATAAAGAAAAGGAAAAGAAAAGAGATAACAGACTATACTATGGACTTTTCTCCCCCAACTTATAAAATTTGGCTGGAATTGGTATGTTTTTATCTTTTGTGTCTTTTCATCCTTTTTTTTTTTTGATATTTTTTTTTTTTTTGATATTTTTTTTTTTTTTTTGATGATGTGAAAGTGGTATTTATCTTTTATCTTTAAATTTTTATGTTTATTTGATAAGATAACTAAAAAACTGACTTAGAAATACAGAAAAGAAATTCAGAGAAAGATATGAAAAAAATGTTGTTATTCTGAAGTGTTAGAATCCCTGTCAGAGCTCTCTTCTGAGCTATGATCCGAGTCTGAATGTGAATGTGAGTCTTCTTCGTTCCGAATATCTGATAAAAGCCGTCCTCGTGGGTAGAACCTCTTGATGTGAGATGCAGCATAAGCCCTTTTTAGTTCAACTCCGTCTAGTTCCTCGAGTATATAGGATCCTCCGTTCAGTTGTTTCTTGACTTTAAATGGTCCATTCCACCTATTTTCAAACAATTTTCCCCACTGATCCTCTAGACTCTTGTTGTAAGTTAAAACTAGGTCCCCGGGTTGGAGTGGTTGTCGTAATCTAGCCGCCATTTTCCGATCCCAGAACCGAACTGAATTCTCTCGAGTTTCCATCATTTTGTGGTGAGCTATGTCCAAAATCTCGTCTCGTCTTTCCAACTGTTTTGTCCTTGCTTCAAGAAGTTCTGCTGTAGTACTGATTTCCATCCAATCAATTCCCAGGTAGGTGTCCATTTCAATATCCACGGGGAGAACTGCCTTCTGCCCAAACATCAACTCGTACGGAGAATATCCAGTAGTCCTTTTTGTTGAGATTCTGTCTGAGAATAAAACTAGAGGTAAATATTCCCTCAATTTTCCGCCTGATTCGCCACACATTTTTACTAATGTATCTTTGATTGCCCTGTGGCCTCTTTCAATCATTCCATTTGCTTCAGGGTAGTACGGCGTAGTTGGTTTGAATTTGGCTCCAATGCTTTCCACTGCCGTAATAAACTCGTTCTTGAATTCTGGCCCATTGTCTACCGTAACCGTCTTGATTGCTCCGTACCGATACACCCAGTCTTCTAGAAGGAATTTAGCAATAGTGGATGCTGTTAATTTGACCAATGGTGCTGCTTCTGCCCATCCCGATAAGTCGTCTCTAGCAATTATTAAATATTTATACCGTCCAGCTTTGATATGGCAAACGTCCAAAGCCACTCGTCCAAATAGAGTTGTTGCCCCGGTTGGGTCCCTGATTTCTCTAGGTACTAAAGCATCTCTTTTCTGACAGGCCTCGCAACTTTGAACCCACAACTTTGTTTTCTTCTTCAAACTGGGCCACCAAAATCTGCAAACTAGTCGTTGATAAGTTTCCTCCAGTCCTCTGTGTCCCAATTCTTCATGAACTTTTCTCAAGAGTTTGCTTTGGTAAGAAATGTTGGAGATAACTAGTTGAGCCATGGGTGAGTGTCGCCGCATGAGTCGTCCATCTTGGATAAAGAAGTTAACTGATTTCCGCTTTATTGACCGGTATTCTTCAGGATCCATGCCTGTTGGCCGTTTCATCGTACTTAAGTAATTCTTGAGATCCATCCAAAATCCTGGTGATTCCCATTCCAAAAGTTCTTCTGATATTGAAAATTTCCGGAACTGGTAAGTTGCTCGTATCACTGGCTCATCTTCATCAAAGTCTGGCTGATCTTCATAGAATTCGTCCTCTTCCTCACTGATAGGTCTTCTGGATAGAGCGTCTGGTAAAGTAAATGTTTTTCCTGGCTTATGTACTATGTCAAACGAGAAGAGTTGAATAAAGGCCACCCATCGCGTCATTGGTGCATTTGGGAGTGAAGGTGAGTTGATCATTTGAATAAGTGATTGCGCGTCAACTTGTAATTCGAAATGTTGACCCCAAAGAAGTGTTTGCAGTTTCTTGAGAATTCGAGAGACTCCGCATAATTCTAATTTTGGCTGCGAATATTTGGATTCCACGGGTGAAAACACTATTGACTCGTATAACACCGGTCTGTTCAATCCTGTCTCTAGTTCTTGTTGGGCCAAAACTGCTCCTGCCGCAATGAAACTTGAATCCACAGCTAGGAAAATCAGTCCTGCGCCTTCCGAATAGTCCAGATTCTTTAAGGTGATATCTTCTCCAATTATTTGTTTGAGCTTGTTGAATGCTTCATTACACTCTCCGGACCATGCCCAGCTAATGTCTTTCTGTGTGAGTTTCCGTAGAGGTGCCGCAATTTCCGCTAGGTCTTTGACAAAAATGCGGACGTAAGTGACTATTCCCATGAATCCTCGTAGCTCGGTGAGACTGTTTGGAGTTGGCCATGTGGTGATTTTGTTTTTCTTCTGTACTGAAACTTTGCGTCCTTCTTTGCTGACCACGTGTCCAACAATATCCAATGCAGGTACGCAGCAAGCAAACTTCTTTCCAGATATAGTGAGTCCGGCTTCTTCAATCCTAAAAAGTACTCTTTCCAAAGTTTGAGCATATTCCCAGATGAATCTTCGAATCCCCGGGTTTTCTTCCAAAACTTCATCGTTGTAAGTTGATCGAGGTCCTTTTATTCCACCATCGTCAATAAATACGCCAACGTATTCCGGAATTTCGTCTTGAAGAATCCACATCATTTGAGCTTGATAGACTGCAACCGAGTTTGTGGCCCCTTGAGGAAGTCTGGTTAGTTGAAATCTTCCCAAAGGTGTATCGAAAGTGGTTAAAGGCCTTGATTCTTCCGCCAATTCTCGTTCGTCGTATCCTCCCATAATATCTCCTAATCCATAACAGGCTCGTCCAGCAAATGCTTCTACAAATTCTTCTGTTGCTGGCGGTAATCCTGCGTCCTTGATGGTTACTCGGTTCATTTCTTGTAAATCGTGCACAATCCGTAATTTTCCATCATGCTTTGCAACACAAAAAATTGGACTAGAGTAGCTGGAAGTGGATTGCTCGTATAAGCCGGTCCGTATTCGTTCTCGCACTAGTTCCACGTAATCATCCTTAATAGCAGCTGGTATTGGTATTGGTTTCTTCTGCCACGGTATATGATCAATGACTGGTATCACGTAAGGTAGTCCGTAAGAGTGTTTCAAAAGTCCTCGTTCTTCCATACAGAATGCCAAAGCTTTTTCTCTGATAACAATGACGTGCTTAAACAGTTTGAGTTCCTCTTTCCAAAGCCATCCTTCCGGTCCAAAATTAACAACCTTTAAGCGCTCTTCAGTGATTTTATTGGTAGGTGTGAATTCTGGTGGATGCGGAGTAAGCGGAGTTTTATATGGGTCTTGAGATAGAGGTGGTCGCTTTAGTGGTGGATTTAATAGCTGTGGAAGTGGTTGATTAATTGGTCGAACTTTCTTCCCAACTGGTTTATACTTTGTCATACACCACAGATTTCCTTCCCGCCAACTTTCACACAGCTTTGTCTGAAAGGTCAAACCTAAACCTTCTGTAAGTAGATTATCCGTGATTCTTTCCTGATTCTGTCGTACTGGTCCTGATACTGTTTTGGTTGAATTGGCTTCCAGGACTGGTTTCACTTCCTCTAACGTCGGAGTTCCATTTTTCCTTGCCAAAGCTGATCCTTGGTTAGTCGTAGTATGCCATAATCGTGCTGTTTCTGTTTTACAAATTTTCAAAAGTAGAATAAAAATAATCAGAATGTTCTTTTTTAATAACATTACCTTTGCAAAATATCTTTTTGTTAGTTTTGGTAGTTTTCTAAATAAACCCAAAAGAAAAGTTTTGAGCCAGTCTAGAAAACCCGGTGTTCTGGATATAACTCGCTCGAGTAGCTTAAGTGAGTAATCCCTTAGTTGAACACCGGAATTCATAAAAAAGACTGCTTTGAAGAATTCTTGAACATTCGATTGTCTTCGTTCGGCCGTATATTCCCGGCCTGCATCTTCATACTGTTGGTACTAAGATCTTTCTTGTTGTTCCATCCTCTTCCTTGGCCCGTTCTTGCTAATGGTACTGATACCCTTCGTCCCTTTGTTCCTTGGAAAGACAGTGTTTCACCATTTTCATGATATTCCAGAGTGCATCCGTAGTCGAATAAGAATGGTCGCCCCAAAATACAGTCCTGAGCCTTGGGCGAAACAAACAGATGTGCTGGTCCGGAGAATCTTCCAATTCCGATTGGGCAATTTTCAGCTACTCCATTTAAGTCGCATCTTGCTCCCCCAACTCCTTTCATTGGTATATCTACTTGTACTAGTTCCAAATCCAGGTCTTCTGCTACTGATCGAGGCATAACGTTCACCATGGATCCGGAGTCTACCATAAATTCCACGCTAGCTCCCCCAACTTCGGCTGTTACGTATCCTAGGGCGCAGCTATAGTAGCAAGGGTCCGAGGGATCTTCTATTTCCGGAGTGGTCATAGCTGCCGAGACTTTTGCGGTTTCCGTAGTAATATATGTCGCACTACTCTTTCCTGGGAGTCGGTTCTGAAGTTTTGCAATTATTTGCTCCGTGTAGGTTGGTGAAATAGCCGTGAGTTGTGCAAAAGTTGTTGGAATTTTCAAATGGTCTAACTCCTGCAA